GAGAATATTATACCTCTAAATTTATCTCCAAATATATGAATTTTTAATATATATGGAGATTTTTATACATAGATCTACATATATAGAGGGACAGAGAGATACCATTCTGTCTTAAACTGTCATTTATACCACACCATTTAGAAGTTACAGTATTCTTTCAAATACTATGGAGTCAGTTTAATATCATTTTAAGGTTTGCAACAGCTGTAGTATGTTATGCCTCTGAGCTAACAGATGCTCTTAGCCTAAAACTATATTTAGAGGGTAATATTTGTCAGATGGAAAAATGAACAAACAAAATAAAAAAGCAAAACTGATCTATTTGATTTCTCCCAAAGCTCTGAACTCCCACAACTTAAGTGAGGATGATGGGGACTTCCAGTGAGAACCAGACCACCAAACTCTAGAATATTCTGCTTACTCCTTGCACTGGAGCAACATACTAGTTCTATTTTTGATGGGTGGGTTACTTTCTGTGTATAAGCTCAAGTTATCTTCCTCTGGTTCTAAGTTGTACCTTCTCCCCTTTTGTTTCAGTACATGAAATTTCTGCCTACACCCAGGACTCCTCTGGTCTGAGATCAAAAAGCAGGATGGAAACATAAGCAGACAGATAATAGTTCTAAACTGGGTTTGGTGTCTTGAAGTGCATGAGCAGGAAGTGGGAGGACAGGGTCTTGGGCTGATTGTAGTGGTACTTAGTCATACCCTTCTGATCACCCTGGAGCAAAGAGAATTTTTGTCTTAAAGGCATTTGTTAAATTCTCAAAATATCTTTGTGGTATGGTTAGTAGGAATTTGAAAATTGTTTTCATACAGATTACTCACATAATCATCTATGTAGGAAATCCCAAATAATTCCAAAAAATTAAATTAAATCCTCCAACAATTAACAAGTGAATTTGACAGTCTCAGGATATAAGGTCAGTATATAGAAATTCTATTTCTATATAACTAGTTACAAATAGTTGGAATTGAAATTAAAGTCTGAATAGTGATTTTTAACTAATATCAATTACAGTCATAAATTTACTTTATACATAAGAACTTGGATATTATTAGACAAAATAAGAAGTAGTTTTCTCCTCATATGATTATAAAGGAAATAGTTCTTTCATATACACAAGCATGCACTATTTTCCTGTATAATTTGAGAATTGTGCTTTTTAATAGCAGCTTGCTAATCCCTTTAAATAGCTCTTAATATAAGCATTCCATAGTTTTCATTAACCACGAATTTCAGCCTTTTTTTTTAATCTCAACTCAAAAACCATATATGATGGTTATTTTATTCACACCCTTTTAGCCTGGTTGGTGAAGCAGCAAGCCCACTGTAAATCCTAAGTGGTATGGTGTAGATGAGTGTCTAAGACTTTAATTATATGTCATTTTATTCACAACACTCAATTCCAGGAAGGAAAAAATGACTCTGTTGTTGTAAAAGACATATTATGTGAGTATCATTCATTGTAAACCAAAATGATACTGTATTATAGCATAGACAACAATGGGAACTGATTCTGAAAATGTGACCTGTCTGAGAAACTGAATAGTGAAAGTTATCAAAATGGAAAGAAGTGTTAATGTGAAATCCAGCCTTCTCAGAAATACTCTTTCCTGGCTGGTTTGGTTTTGCTTTTGTTGCTTGTCATGCATGAATGAAAGTGCTATACTCTCAGGGGAGAAGGAAAGCCTCCGAGTTGGTTGTTTATTTCCTTAATCCCTCCTCCTTTGTGATTTTTGATGTCAGATCTAAAATGGAAAGCCTGTAAATATAATGATTATCACATGGATAATCACCTGCATTAGGAACCGCCCTGCTTCTCTATTCTAACCCTAGCTGTTCTCCACATGTCACATCTACTCTGCAGTTGGATTTTAACCTGACTGCTTCATTAGATTTGTGAAACTCAGTACGAGGCGCCCTGGGGCAGCACAGATGGGGACTTGCTTGTTTTCTTTTCTCACTTTTACTGCGATGGCACACTAAAAAGTCCTTTTCAATTTAATGTGATCAATTCGCTTGGAATTACCCCTGATATTTGGAACCTGCCTTACTCTTCTGCCCACCATCTATGCCCATTCTTTCTTCCTTGTTTTCTAATGTAATGCCTTTTGTTTCTGTACCTTCATACAGTGAGAACAAAAATTCTGCTTAAAATGCTTACTGGGTCAAACTGTTCCCCTGTGTTGATTTGTTTGTTTTACTGAAAGGGAAAAATAAATGTTGTTCCATCATTGTATCTACAAACACCTTCAGATCAGAGGTTAGCTGTGGGAAAGACTGCACTAGTGTGAGCCAGCTGCCTTCTCTAATGGAGTGACTTGGGGCATCAGCCCAAGATCAAAGAAAGGTGGGAGGAAGTCAGAAGATAAGATCATTTCAAGCCACAGAACAAGTGCTTAGCTTTTTTAGTGATAGGGCACAGCTCCACAAACTTGTACAAGGTTGCACTAAGAGAAAATTGAGTTTGCTATTCTTAAATGTGTTCTTCCTCAGTCAGAAATATATTGGTGTTTGGACTTATTTACAGATGTGAAAATGTCCTAGGGCTTAGTTTTCTTAAAAAATAATAATTTGACATTTATATTTTTATCTTCTTGTAGCTAGTCAATTCTACTATACCATATCAGATTATAGTTAATTGCTAATTAAAATTATATTAGCAAAACTGAACATTAAAAAAACTGAATTTTCAGTCTTTATGTCTTAATTCTACAGATTCTTTAGTTTAACTTTAAGTTATAGTCCTCTGGGATTCTTTCATGGCTCTGATGAAGTTCCATATAAACAAGTAGTTCTAGAAGAGCTTTTCAGTTGTCTTTTTTATATAAGAATCAGTTTGGTTAATTATGACAGATTAGAAAACATACATTGATATTTTATCCTTTGCCTTGCTGTCTCAGACAGCAAATATTATTGACTTTGTAATATACAAAGTTCTGTTGAAAGTACATTGTCAAGAGGCTAGCCTTGCTTGAGCCTGTTGTCAAGAACATAATTTAGTCTTAGGGATGGGGTGGTCTTAATCAGCTGAGGCTAACTTGGTCAGACTTTAGCAACTCCAATGAATTGCCTAAGGAGTTGTACTTGCAGCTTATCACTTTCTGTTAACTTCGATTTTCAGCTGTAATCACACATTCTGATTATTTCAAACCCTCAAAATGGGTCTCTAAATCTATGTGTTATTAGTATATTGGACCAGTAGTGCATACATAAGATATTTTTTTCCTCAGTGTTTTCCTCAACATGTAGGTAGTACCCAAATTTGTGCTGGAGATACTGACTGTACTTTCTGCCTTACATGGCTTGGTGCAGCAGTCGTTTTAAGTTGAGTTGGATCTGCTCACTACTCAGGCTCAAATCCCATCCTTCTATTAATATCTCTTGGCAGAGATAATTTTGGAAGAATGTAAGTTAAGATGTAGAGGCTCTTGACAGTTGTCTGCAGTATTTTTTTTTCCTTTCTGCTTTCAAGAGGGAAGTAGAGTTGAAAAGTAATATTGCCTCCATTTTCTATCTGTCCTAAAATTAAAATGTGCACAAATCAAAGGGTAAAAGGGAAAGGATTTGGTTACACAGATGTGTTTTTGTTATTTGATAACCTGCTATAAAGCCATCAGGGTATACATTAATGTGTTCTTAAGATAATTAAAAGAACTTCATATATTAAAATATTTTGACCATGTTTTAAGTATTTGACTTTGGCTACCCTGTCATCTTATATAAAAGGAAAATTGGCATGTATTATGAGAAATTTCAAATACACAGATAGCTATCCTGAACCCCCACATGCCATATATATCTAGATTTCGCAGTTGTTAATATTTTGCCAATTTTGCTTCACTTAGGGTTTTTATGTTTTAAAGTGTATTGTAAAGTAAATTGCATATTTCATCACATTTTATCCCTGAATACTTCAGGATACATCTCTAGAAATTAAGAACATTTTCGTTATCAAACTTATAATTCTTAGTATTATTTAATTCTCATTTTTTATATTAAAATTTTTCTAGTTGTCCCCAAAATACCTTTTACAGCTAGTTTGTTTAAAACAGGGTCCAATTAAGGTCCACATATTGCCCTTGTTCATTTTCCTCTCACCACTTTATTATTGACACAGCCTGTTAAAAGGATTAAGCTAGTTTTCCTGTGGATGTCCTACCTTATAGATTTGTCCATTGCTTTCTCAGTGTATCCTTTGATTTGTTTCCCTATTTCTGTGTATTTCTCAGAGACTACAAGTTATTGGACTAAAGTTTTGGTTAATTTGTTTGAAAAATCTTTGGTCAGAATACTTTATAGGTGATGCTATGAGCTTCAAACTGCATCATTACAGAAGGCACAAAATATTTGGTGATCCCACTATTAGTGATGATAAGTGATAGGATCAATCACTGGGTTAAAGTGATGACAGCTTAATCCTTCCATTTTAAAGTTATGCCTTGCTCCCTGTGACCACAGAATATAATCTTTGATACTTTGATTCCATGTAAAGACTCAATTTCCTGTCATCCTTTCATCCAGTGAATTTAACATCCATTAATGATCCTTGTCTATTAAATTTCATCATGAGGATTGCAAAATGGTGATTTTTCTGAATCTATATATTTATTAACAGATAGGCTTCTCTCCAAAAGAGCTTTCTGAGAGGTATTGTTTTAATTAAAACTGTAACCACCAAGTATGTTCCTTAGGTTTCAAATGATTGTCTTTCTTTGCTGAGGTCAGAACACCTGAACTCACTGTAGCAGCTACAGTAAAAACATGCACTACATCTTCTTTATTCCAACTTGTGAAGTGTGTTGACATTATGCTACCTCTATATATATATATATATATGCCAAGAGAAAAAAGAAATCTTTTTTTGGTGTAAGAATAAAAATTGAACTATGTGGGTATATTGAGATAATTGTGTAAAAGACTGAATGAGTTTCAAAATGGATTATTTCTTCATTACCTAGCACTTTATAATTAACTGTTCTTTTTTTTTTTCCAGGAAGCTGCCACTTTTGCTAGAGAGCAAGGCTTTGAGGTGAGTTAACCCACAATTGCACACTAAACAGATCCTAAAGGTTTTTTCTAGCTGATAATGAAGTTCTTTTGGACAGTGATTGATGTGCTATTATACTCTCAGAGCCTCGCAGCAGTTGCCATGGAAACTTGGCAGTCGTCATGGTTTCTTTGTTCTGCCAGCACAGTGTTATGACGCACTCTGCTAGGTCTGCACCCAACATCGCCTACAGATGTTATTTATTGAATTTTGAAAAGCCTCTTGGGAAGCCAAGAGGTTGGGCACGGTTTCAAGCTGCCTCTGCAGATATGGGGCCTGTCAGTTTGTTCAGTTAAAAAGCTACCTCATTAGCTGCATTACATTTCATAAGGATTCACTGCTAAAGCAGTGGTGGAACAAGACTAAATAGTGAAATATAATGTCGCTTAAATAATTTCAGCCCTATCACATGTAGATTATCATTATGCAAATTAATTTCCAAAAGGTTGTACTTAACAGTTGTTAGGAACTGATTAATTTAAATCCTGCTCATATGAACTTCCTGTTTGAATCTTTTCTCTCACTTTATCTTAGATAACATAAAATAGATGTAAATTTTCTGAGGCAAAATATTGATAATTGGCTTTAATTTCCTGGTCTTGATTCTGTTTTCCTGTTAGGAGCATTATACTGTCAAGATTTCAAAACTCCATGTGGTTGTTGTTGGCAAAATTAAGAAAACAGTCAAGACCATGTTTTTATCTGTATAATATCCATCGTCCAATTAATTGTTGGAAAACACTGGCTTCACTATGAACCCAGGTTAATTGATAGATTTAACTGAGGTTATGAATCATTTATGATTATGATATTTATTGAACCAGAACTACCTAGAATGAGACGTTCTATATATAGCAAGTTGAAATATGATAATAATTTTTTTAAATTTAATAGGAACTCTGTTTGCATACTCAGTATTGTCTACTATCTAGAGAAGCTATGAACATTGACTGAATAACACTAATAAGTTTACTCTGAGCTCTTTAAAGGTGTATGAACTTATGATGGAACTCTTACTTAAATATACTAACGGCATATTCATTATCAAGCAACAAAGTAATATATTTTACTCATGTCGGAACTTGATGAAACCAGAATAGAGCTTCTTATTTATTTTTATGTGGTGCTGAGGATTGAACCCAGGGTCAAGCACTCTACCACTGAGCTACAGCCCCAATCCCAATGTAGTTCCTTTTTTTACTATATTCTAGTGAATATAGAGTTGAGGCATGTAGAAAAGGATTTCCAAGTTTTTTGTTTGTCGTCTCAAGTTTCACTTTGTGATTTCCCAAACTGGCAATTGATATATAAGACAAAATGTAATCAGGGGAGTATTCAATTTGAAAAACAAATTGCTTAATGCTTTCAGTCATTGTTAAAATTTTACTGATGTTAAGGGTTTGGGGATTTTTTTTTTCTTTTTTGTAGTAGTGGGGATTCACCCCAGAGCCTCATGCACGCTAGATAAGCACTCTACCACTGAGCTACATCTTCAGCCCTGATACTAAGCTTTAATAGTAAAAATGTATATTCTCTTTTGATACATAAAAATTCTCCATAGATAAAAGCTTATAAAATATAAATTTACATAACATATAAAGTACATGTAGAACATAAATTCATGTAACACATAAATGACTGCTATCATAAAAAGTATATTTTGATTCTATAAAATGACCAATTTTGCAGACATTTAGAAATATAACATGTTGCGTAACAAATTATCTTAGTCCAGTACTATCTACATAATAATTTTTAAAAAACAGTTTAGTTAGCTGAGCACAGCAGTGCACACCTGTAATCCTAGTGGCTTTGGACACTAAGGCAGGAAGATTTCAAGTTCACGGCCACCCTTGGCAAGTTAGTGAGACCCTGTCTAAAAAAATAAATGGATGGAGTTAGAGAAGATAATGCTAAGTGAAATTAGCCATCCCCAAAATAACAAATGCCAAATGTTTTCTTTGATATAAGGAGGCTGATTCATAGTGGGATAGGGAGCAGGAGCATGGGAGGAATAGGGCAGAGGGGTTGGAGGGGAAAGGAGGGGGAATGGGGTTATTAATGATGGTGGAATGTGATGATCAAAGTATAGGTATAAAGACACGAATTGGTGTGAATATACTATGTATACAACCAGAGATATGAAAAATTTTGCTCTATATGTGTAATAAGAATTGTAATGCATTCTACTAACATATATAAATATATATATATATGAATGAATAAATAAAAAGGGCCAGGTATGTAGTTCAGTGGTTGAGCACCCCTAGGTTCAATCCCCAGTACCACCAAAAAAAAAAAAAAACGTTTAGTAAGTCTGACTAATCATACTTAGATTTCCTGATGAACTTCTTGCTCTGAATGTGCATCATTCTTAGCAACAAACTAGTTCTTCTGTATTTTATTAAGACAGGATCTCACCAAGTTACTCAGGGCCTCATTAAGTTGCTGAGGATGGGTTTGAACTCCCGATCCTCCTGCCTCAACCTCCCAAGTTGCTGGGATTACAGGCATGTACCACCACACCTGGTTTCCATTACCTTTTATTACTGATTTTAGAATTGTTTCTTTTTGCCACTAATCTGCCATAATTAATTATAACATAAAAGCAAAGTGATGATGATTAAAATCACATACCTTATTACTTCCTGACATAGCAAAACTGCTCTGTCAGTGATGTTGACAGTGATATGTTAAATTGGATAAAGCACATAGTATCTTGATATGTCCTTTTATGGGTTCCCAAAATCCTTACAATCATGGCACAATATACATGAGCCCTAATTAGATCAGCCTCAAGTAATCGTTGTTAATAAAATAGATTATATCTAGAGAAATTCAGTGATTTTATAATGTCATTAAAGATTACTTACTTCATTAGACATATGACAGCATAAGCTTGGAACTTAGTATTCTTATGGAGTAAAAAAAGAATAAATCATTTTATCTTAACAATTTTCTATCTATAGAATTGTGTTAAGACTCTCAAGTCTAGTGTGACAAACCAGCAAAAATCTGCATTTTATCTCTCCCAACTTTAATATTGCTTCTAAATTTGAAGCAAGATTGAGAAAAGAGAAATGAAAAGATATAAGAGAAAGGAAAGGTGAGCATGTTTTTTTTCTTCCCACCAGCACTGCTGTCCTACCCTCATTTTCTATTATAAATCCCAATCAGTTCCCAAAGCCACTGAGTGTTGCCACTAGTGATCTGTCTGCTGACAGATCCAAATGCCTCTAAAAATAACCAGTGTTTATTCATCAGGAAATAGCCTCAGTGGCATTGTTTATGATATTCTGCTTAGCTTTTTTGCAAATTTTAGATCATCTTTATTTTTAAAAATCTTTAATCTTTAAAATGAATTGGGCAATTTTTCAATGAGCTTAGGAGGGCACTGGAGAATGAGATAAAAACTGGAACTGGGCAGAGCACAAAGCAGAAGAGAATATATATATATATATATATATATATATATATGATGGAAAATTGCATAGTGCCTGATTTAAATGACAGACCTGCTAAGAATTTAAAATGACAATTCTTGGAGTAAAAAGTTTCATAAGGCCTTTCATTATTCTGGAAAATAAGTTTAGACTGCAGTGTGTTTTTAAATCTACCTTGTCTTGAGCTGAACAGATTAAAGGTTCATATTTTTAGAACCTAAATAAAAATAAGGTACTTAAAAAAAGCACATTTTATTATGAAGCCTCTAAAAACTATTGGAAATTGATTTAAATTAAATCAACTGAAGAAAATACCTCCAAAACCTAAATATAGATACACTCTATATCTTCATTGTTTCTGCAACAGAGTACATGCCAAAAGATGAAGGGAATTTATGCCTTCACTATTGGATCATGTGTTCAGTTTACTTCAAGTAAGAAGTTTTGATTTTCTTATTTTAGATTTCTAAGATATAATACTTTGTTCACAGAGAAAACAAAACAATCTTTCCTTTATCCTAATTCCTCCATTGCTTCTGATTCTACAGTTAAACAGTTTAAAATGTAAAGTCATATATGGTGGTACCAGCATGTAGTCCCAGCTCCTTGGAAAGCTCAAGTAGGAGAATCAATTGATCTTAATAGCTTTGAGACTAGTCTGAGCAATATACTTCCAAAATTTTTTAGTTTTTTGTTTGTTTGTTTGTTTAATTTGGTCCCTGGGTTGACCAAGGCAGATTTTAAGTGTTCTGTAACTTCTGTAGCTACATGTTGGCTTTATTGGACAGTGCAGGTATAGAATATATTAATCATCTCAGAAAGTTCCATGGATTAGCACTGGATAGAAAATCTAGAGAATATGCAGAAGGTGTTGATTCTCAACAAATTCTCTAAGGTAATTCTAAAGTTCCTGTGTTCTTTACAAAGATGGTTACGAACAATCACAATTTTTGAAGTTAAAGCCACTTAGTCAGTTGGCTATGAGAATACACTACTACTTTCACAGGTACCTGGGTCCCAAAAGACGATGATTTTAAAACAGTTTAAGGGAAAAGAGATAAAATGGTCTTCTGATTTTCTTAATTTATTACAAATATTTACTGAGCACTTGCTGTGTGCTTGACATTCTCCAATAAACCCTGAAGACAAGGTAGAAATGACCAGAGTGTATGTTGTGAAAGAGAATGTGGGAGGGGTTCCTGTTTTAAATATGACAGTCTTGGAATGACTGTCTGAGAAAGAAAAATCTGAAAAAAAAATGAATATCTAGCAATGGCAGACCAAAAAGCCAAACAATTAAACAGGGAAACAAATTTCAAACAGAGAAAATAAGAACACAAAGGCCTCCAAACAAGAAAGAGTATAGTGCACTATGATCTACAGAAACTGATGGAAGGCCAGTGTGGCTGGATTGGTGTGAGGAAGGAGGAAGGAAGAGCATTAGATCAGACTGGTGACTGACACATCATATAAATACCATAACTGTTACAGGAGTTTCTATTTGGAAAACAAATCAGAAAATTGAATGATTAACTGAGG